TCTCTGGCTTTCTCCCTTTTTTTCCCACCCCGCCGTCTCCCTCATGCCCTCAGACTCCGTGCTCTTTTCTCCAGCGATATCTTACTTATTTCACCAGGCTGCTGGAAACATTTTAATTACACTTTGTTCATCAGCCCTCGTCTCCGCCGCCGTAGAACAATGCACACTCGCGTCCCTCCGGAGACGGGGGGGCGAGATACGGGGCTGTTTGCCGAAGGAATAAGGGCGCTTATCTCTGCCGCTATGTGAGAGGAATGCAAAGACGGCGAGGAGCGATGCGTCTTGGATACACGCGGAAGCAAACGCCAAAGACAGGCATGAAATAACTCTCCCGTGGCACGCGGAGGTGATTATCCTACTGGAGACCAGAAGTTGAGAAAGCCCCCCGTGAGCTTTTTTCGTCTCGTTGTTGTTTTAAGCATCGAGCTTCGCGTTATTTATTTCGGATGGACGAGACGCCGCAAATCTTCATTTAAAGCCTTTACAACATCAGGAAAGTGCGATTGTTGCCGCTCGCCGATTAACCAACAGCATTTGAAAGGCAATAAAACACTCTGACAGATGTTGAGACGATGATACCAAGAAACGCTGAGTGTTCTTCTTTGAACATCTTAAGTTCTCTGGAAATTCCTCTTAATTCTTCTCAGCCCCTTCATATTTAATCTCGCCATTGTTAATAAGAACCGCCACTATTCGGCGTTGCCGCGTCCACACGCATGGCCTTTGTGGCGAGAGCGCCACATGACCCTAAGATGGCTCCTCGCCGCACTTCAAACTCTGCCTAACCCCCTTAAACCACCACCACGCTACAAAAGGGGCAACGTGCACGTGAGAATGTATCTCAGAGCACGAGAAGCCTCTAATAAGCTGTATAAAAGGGGGATCATCTGATTATCCCTAGTGCGCCGGACCACGGGGCCAACAGCGCAGCGCAGGCCCCCGCGTTGTTCTCCACGATGAAAGGAGGCGGGTGGAAGGGATCCCTCTCCGTTGCCTGCAGTGCGCCCGGGGCTCCTGTGCCGGCACACGGCTGGGGGGGGGTGGGGGGGGGGTCTACATCGTGCCACCACCGCTCTTAAAGCCAATATTGAAAGAGTCACAAAGACAAACACTTACCCTTGAAACAGGCACGTGTCTTCTCACCCCAGGCTCTCCTCTGCGCTCTCCGGTTCTTGGGAGGAGGGGGGGGTTTGAACCTGTATCCCAGCCAGCAACTTGTCACGTTCAAACCACCAACAAGAGGCCAGAAAGTTTGTCCTTTCACTGCAATTCCATTGTAACTTTACGCCTATACGCCACTTTGTGATCTGCTCTTTCTTTCACGCTCCTGCTCCTGCACGGCGTAAGGACCGGGTCCGGGCCATACGGGCCTGAAAGACCAAGCCCTGTAATTAAGTGTGGAGAGAAGAGAGGCCATTGTTGTGCAGATCACGTTGGGTTTGGTGACAGCCCGCTCACTCAGTTCAGCGGTCAGCTGCATTTTGATACGGAGGCAGACAGAGCGACGCCGGGGCAGCGGCTCGCGCTCTACGGCCCAGCGGGCCCCCGAGATCAGGCCAGCACAGCAGTTTAGAGCGTAACCCCTGTGACTGGACCCCCCCTCCAACCACCACCCGGCCACATCGTAAAACCCCGGGACTGGGCTTGGCACTTTTGCTCAGTGTTCCCACTGGCTTCCGCGGGACACGTGGGCCACTATGATCCAGGTAGCGGTTACAGCGATGCGTGTGAAGGAATCCTCCAGCCAGGAGATCCATACCTCCACCGCCTCTAGCTTAGCAGGCGCGGTTTCTGAGATCAGTCAAGGACAGCAAAGGCTTAGGTGTAGGAATTAGGCCCCGGCTGCCAGATCTGGGTTAGATTTTTTTTTTTTTTTATGGAGCTCACCCAAAGACCAGCGGGCCGACAGGCCGGCATCACACAGCCAGACAATTTATGTGCTGTGTCTACGGTCATTGGCTGTATCGTAGACGCAGCACAACAAAACTTATGCCACTTCTGCGCCAATATTCTTAAGCATTGTGTCTGAAGCTTGGCAAATGCTCTTCCCTTCCATTGCCTTCAACTCAGTCAACATTCTCAGAGCAGTTTTCACATTTGCGAGAAAGCCAGTGAGAAGGACGCGCTTTATGTGTCCCCCCCCCCCCCCCCCCCCCACGGATGTGGTTAGTCCGAAAAAGAAAGCCCAGTGTTTAAGAAAGAAGCACTTTAAAGAAGAAGATCCCTCTTGGGAGGAAGCGGAGATGCTTTGCCAGCGAGTGGGCTCACTGTCGCTGCAGGACCACTGACCGACTAATCAGCGCACAATGTAAACAGATGTCGGCGCCGCGCGTCCCATTCACGCTTCTACACAATTTAGATCTTTAAAAAAAAAAACTTCTCCCTCATTAATCCTCATCTCGATCCTTTCTTCTGATCCCACAACAAAGCCCCGTGTATCAGTGTCGTGGTTAAGAAGGGTTGCGTGGACTCTTATCCAGTGAAAAGCGGCTCAGACTCAGGCACCACCACAATTAGCTAATGCTAACAATAGGGGCGATGTTTTCCTTCGCCGCCTCTTCCTTTCTCCGCTGAAGTGGGTGTAAACACAGTCTTAGGCCACGGACGCGAGAGGAGTGGGAGATCACACGTGTTGGATGAATAGCAGAGATTTAGCAGAGCAGAGGCCCCCGAAAGATAAACCGTCCCTCGCTCTCTTCCCGTTGTTTTTTTTCGCCTCCTACGCCTCCCGCGAGCTTTTCGCCCGCCACACGTTAACGACCACGGCGGCCAGGTGCAGGCGGAGCTGCAGGTGCCGTCGCATTTAGGCACATTAAGCACTGACGCGCAGCGGCACGCAAAGAGTAATCGGGTTTACCTGGCTGCCTGCCGCACGGCGCGGCACACTATGCAAGCACAGCACAAAGGCTTCGGGCCCCCTCTCCATCACAAACACACACACACACATATGCACACACCTGGGATGAATTTAGGAGGTGACAAAGCCCTCATGGAGGGGGACTACCGCTGGTGGAGTAAGGCCCGTGTGTGTGTGTGTGTGTGTGTGTGTGCGCTCACACGCGTTGGGAACCAGACACCATAACAGGAGACATTGGCTTTTTACACCTCGTGGCGACAGACGCTACAGGCTCCTGGTTCAAAGCAGCTGAGGGAGGGAGGGGAAGCGGAGGTTTTTTAAGGGGGAACCCTTTGGTTTTCGCTGACCCTCAGACCGCCGGAGCTCATGGGGATTGAGCTCTGGTGCTGGGTTCAATCAGACAGAATGGGGCCGCCGCCTTCAAGGACACCCCGTGTCCTTAACACCTGGGGCCAGGAGGAGGTGTTTTACACAGCAGCGCTCTCATGTCGGATCATAAGTCTTCCCCGAGCAGGGTGAGGATCAGAGAATTGACATCAATGGAAAACACTGGATGGTTATTTCTCAACACTCATTCTTTGTTAGGAGTTTTTTTCAGTGCCGCAACAAACTAATTAATCAATCGCATTGTGAATGAACCGGTAAAGTAAAAAAAGTTTGCTTTTTTTTTTTGCAAACCATAAGAGAATCCTTTCAAAATGAAATCAAATTGTGAAAATCTGTAAATGCACACGGATCAAGAGGATGTTTTGCTGAAATCAACTGATTGCAGACAATCCCGAGCAACTTTTTTATTCCAGCGCTAACAATTCCAATGCGGAAGACGAAGCCGTTCAGAAGGAGGATACAATCTGTGTTCATCATGCCTGCAGCTCGGCCTTCGCTGTGCTCCACTCCACTCTGCGGCGTGTGATTGCGAGCCGGCCCGGGCCTCTTGAGCCGCAGCGGCGCACAAAGAAAGCCTCTTGAAGCTCTACGGCCCTTTTGACTTTTCCTGCTGCTTTTGAACTCTCCATTTCAGACTGTGACTTTTCCACATGACCCCAAGCCTCGGAGTGACCCCTCCCTCCCCCCTTACCCCGAGGATTCAGTGGTCTGGAACCTTCTTTCACACACACACACACACACACACACACACACACACACACACACACAAAATGAGAAGTGGCAGTGTTGCTGAGCTGGGTCAGGATGTAATGGGCAGTAATGTTCCGCCCTCGAGGGCCCGGTCCACAGCGCCGGTTTTGAGTAACCTTTCCCTTAAAGAGGCACCTCGGTGACTCCTAGGCACCCAAGCACGAGGGAGCAGCAGCTAATGAAGTGGCTGAATAAATAGAGTTACAGTACACTGTCGGGCTCCACTGGACTTTTCATTACTTAAAATCGCCCTGTCCCACTCTGTCTGCCCCAATTCAGAGCCCATTTAACCAAACCAAACAAGCTATCACATCAAATCCTTGTCTGCAGGCTAAGTCCTGGCTACAGTGGCCGCTGAATTAACCTCCTAATCAGCCTCTTACTCCCCAATCATCTATCTGCTGTTCTCTCCTTACACACACACACACACACACACAGCTTTGCTTTCATCCAACTCCTATTGTCTCACCTTTTTTTTCAAATTATCGTCGGTATCTTAATCAAGCCACATCTCTCCCTTCACCTCAATCTCTTCTCTCTCTCTCTCTCTCTATCTCTCTCACACGGTCTCTGAGTCCCAGGGAGAGAAAGAGTAGCGGGAGGGGGGGGGGGGGTGAGGTTTGATGCGGCGCTGCTTTGGGGCTTTGAAGTGTGTGTTGATGAGGGAAAGCAGAGTACTGTGTTCAGACAGGCCCCTAATGAGGGAATTAAGAAGCTACGCTGGCCGTTCCCCACACTAACTTCCCAGGCACAAAACAAGACAAGTGTGCGTGCATGCGTTTCACAAAGGTGTGTGTGCGTGTGTGTGCGTGTGCAGACGGGAGTGTAAAAGAGAGAGGCTAATCTGTCAGACTTAATCAAGCGTCTGGCAGTCCGGCCTCTCGCCTACAGCACAGAGACAAACTTGGCCTCGGTGGTTGCCTCGATAACACGTCCTTGGGCCGTGTAGTCTCTTTCCCTTTAAATACAAAACGACGCCCGCTGTTTTGTGGCCCGGCGGACTTACGGTAGTGTGCGTCCAGGTAGCCGTTGCGGGGGTCCATGGTGAACAGAGTGCCTCGGTACGGCAGGGCATGCTCGGCCAGGTGGGACAGGGAGCCGTGCAGCTCCTTCTTCAGCAGGGAGGGCCGTTCTTCCGTGGAGGTGGAGGGCTCCTCGCTCACCGTCCTGTCCGGGCCGCGGGGCGCCTGGGAGCTGATGGCGTTGCGCCTCTCTCGGTGGTACGGCGCGCCCGAACTTTCTTCCTCTGCAAGGGGACGAGAGGTAGAAGGAGAGGGAGGGGAATCTGATGTTAAAATAATGAGCCGCAAATTCATTTTGAGGAGAAACGTTGGGAGAAACGCATGCGAGGAGCTTCGGCACTCCCTGTTTCATACACACAGGCGTGCTGAAGCCCCGGACACATGGTGAGGACCGGGCATTATGGGAGTGGGAGCTTAAAGACAGACAGTCCATGATGGGGATTATGGATGAAAAAAAATCTCAAGTTCTTCCTTTCTCAAAACTCTCTTCTTAAATTCAGCTCTGTGTGCTTTTCTTCATAAAGAAAGTGATTCCCATAGAGAAGCCAGCCCAGGCTTCCTGCCTGCATTCCAAGCTGCCTATTAACCAGCGTCATGGGTTTTATGGACCCCACCCTCCTTCATTCTCTGGTTTTCTCCTTCTCCTCACACTCGGCCCTTCTGTTCTGAAACTAAATCCGTCTTATTCTGACGGCAAAATTAGGAGGAGCGGGTCTCTGGAGAAAGCTTCCTGGCACGCTGGGTTGAGGATAAATGTGGAGTTGAGTTCAAGGGCTGATCTCCACCAGAAAAGACATGACCCCTGACCCCGGGCCTGAACTCTGAACTGGCATGCCCAAAGGTCAGCTAGCCTCCTGACCTGGTATTAGCCCTTTCTCTAGTAGGATACTTAATAAACCGACACGGCGTGTAACACTGATGAAGGATAAAAATGCCTTCAAATGCTTTTGTGCTCTTCAGTTTGGAGACAGTCTGGTCTATTCTTTGTTCGGGGCCTGTTCAGCTCTGGTTATATGCCATGATGATTTCACCATTGAGGTCGCTGGTCACCAGTTTGCACCCATTCTCTTTCCCGCACTAATGCTGCTCACTGAGAACCCGGGCCAAGCGCCGCCGCCAGAGGTTCGCGGTGCGAAGGCTCCCCTACACGCTGCCGCCCGGCAGCATCCGTCTGCCAATTAAGAACAGAGCGGGCCAGATTAAAGAGCACTACCTTAAGCGCTTGAAGGGGGCCGCCCCGACGCTGCACCACTTCGCAGAAGCGATCAGAAAGGGGGGAGGTGAAGAGACAGGAGCCCGGGAGAGAGAATGAGATTGAGAGAGGCGAAGAAGAAGAAGAAGAAGAAGAAGAAGAAGAGAGCAACCCACGGGTCCCGCTTTTATTCCCCCCTCACTCGCCCAGATCCATTACCGGCGTTGGGCCCAGCCGTGCCTCAGCGAAGCACTGGCAGCAGATTCAAGGATTCTTAACGCGGAACTGACAGCCGGCGAGGCGAGCCGCTCTCATCCGCAGGAAAATGACAGCGTCAGTTATGATATAAGTATTTAATCCTACACTGCGCAGCCAGTGATCTTATTAAGGGAATAATGGCACTTATACGGTTAAAGCTGGATTAATAGGTCTGCTCTTGCAAAAGCGGAATATTAACATAAAGGGATTTGGTTATTGGGTTCATCTCCTGACATGGATTGGAAAGAAGTGGAGAGCGTAAACTCGACTCTGAGCAAGCTGGTAGGGTGGAGCATGTCGAATGTCTAGCATCACAACAAGTGAAAACTACCAAAAAAACGTAACTGCGTCCATTAATAGACACACTATGTATTCGTATTTCTTTTTCTGTTCACACCCATTCCCTCGTCTTCCTTTCTTCCCCCACTGCTATTTAGATCTGTCCCTCTCCTCCAAGGGAGGTCAAGCGACTAATAGTTCAGTCACAGCAGTGTCACAGTCCGACCATCCCCCTCCAGTCACCGCAGGGGGGGGTCCATCATTCTACAATGCACCACAATGCACCACAATACACCGAGGGGCTTCATTACTTCAGTTTATAACACTCCAAATGGTTAAAGAAACACCCAGCGGCGCACGGGTCAATTGACTCCTGGACAACCAGAAATCTCAAGTAATGTTTCTCTTCCGCTGCTTCTGCTGGTGGAAACTCTCTGTAGCCGAACGCCACGTCAGGCTTGTCCAAAAGCGAAGTGCCGATGAAGACAAGGCCGACGCAGGTAAAACACATGCAACTTTGAAAAGTTCCAACCACGCAACAATCCTCCAACTCTGACCATCAGCCCGACAGACCATTTCCCCTCCCTCATTTGTCATTCTCCTTTTATTTTCCTCTCTTTTCCCATGGTTTCCGCATCCAGTCCTCCACCAGTTTGTGGGTCTATTCAACCCCATACAAAAGCAGCAGGCCGGTCCTCTGTGGACCAGAGGAAAGCATGCCTCTCAAAAAAAAAAAAAAAAAACGGAAAAAAGAACCATCCCGCTCTCTCTCTATGGTGATTGAATTTCTTAACATCTTTTCAAAAAGCGCTTAAATGCCTGGAGGCGAAAGGAAGAAACAAGCTAATGGTGGATGGGGAGCACTGAACAAATTTCAGAGCCCTTTCCTGCTCGCGTTTGAGGTTGAAAGCGGGCTCCTGCCTTTCAAGTTTCAAAGTCCTCCTTCCTCCCGCAGTGTCACTGAAGGATTTGAAAAGAAGGTAATTGTGCTCACTGCCGTCCTGATCAGAGCACACGCCCCAGCTCTTGTATTTCAGGAGCTTTCTCTGCCACTATTATGGTACCTGGTGCTCCATTCCTGCATTCTTCCTCCCTTACTGCTCTTTCTCGCTCTCCTGCTCTACCCCACTTGCTTTCTATCCGTCTTTCACCCCCAGCGAGCCACTCATTAAATCCCCAAAACCCAGGTTTCTCCCTTTTTTCCCCTTGTCTGCCTTGTCTATTGTAAGTCTGTGGTGCGAATACCTTCAGAGAAAACCCTATGCATGGCCTTTAATATGGAAGAGCGAGAGTGGATGCAATGACAAAATGAAATTTAAAAAGGGATAATGAGATATGGAGTGGGGCCAATTCCTCTGAGAGTTGGGCTCCGGGACAAGGGAGGGGGGCTAAAGTTAAGGATGCCAAGGCAATTCAAAGAAATGAAGAGTGAAACAAAAACCCTCGGCTTGGTGCTTTTCGGGGGTATTTTCAAGAGGCCGAGGTTAAAAACAAGGATTGCTGTTCCTCCACATGCCAAACTGCCCTTGTCTCTCAAGCGTCTGATTTGCCCTCCGGCCTGCACTCACTCACTCAGTCAGACCTTCTATACTTGCGGGATGTATGTTTCAGGGTTGCACAAAGAGCCACTGCACGCTGCAACTCTTTCCCCTCCTCGCTGCCTTTTCCTAAAAGCCCAAACATCAGAGGAGGTGTTGTTGTACCTCTGAGCCAAAGCCAGACGTTTGCCGAGTTCCACCTTCGAACTTCTCAAAGCGTCGGTTGTCAGTGGCACAAACAGGTTTTGGCTGGGGAGCGCATGGAAAGTGAACGAGGAGGAGAGGAGTGGAGGATATACAGTGAAATCACAAAACCCTTCTTCAAAGCTCCTCTCCTCCTGTGCAATAATCTCTTGCTCCTTTTTCTCTTTCTCTTGCAAATCAACTCCCGGGAAAGACTCGAGACTCCCCAATTAACAATGAGAAGGGGGGGGGGGGGAAAGAAAAATTCCAGCAGCTGGCTGGAGTTTAATAAGAGCACCTCTCCAAGCGGCTTAGGCTTATGTACCTGATTCACCGGCCCTGGCATCGGCACTATAGACAGAGGGAATCATTCACGATTAGCGCGGGCTGAAAGGCGAGGGAGAGGGAGAGCGCTCGAACTCCACCAAACACAACACAACAAGAGCATTGGGGGATTACTGCAATTGTGTGAGGTATTTTTCCGATCGTCTTGGCTCGACAGCGCTCAGAGACACTTGGAGCCGGGTACCTTCCCGACAGCAGAGTTCAGCTCGGCGTTATGTGAAGGTTACCAAGTCCTACCGGAGCGTCCCAAATCTGGCTAAAAAAGGGGCGACATTCGGGAAACTCCTTGACAAACAAATCTTCTAAATGTCAGATGGCAGAATCGGGTCATTGGCCTGATATCTGCGCGCTGGGTAGTTTGCGATCCCCAGTCAAAAACTATTTGACGGAGCTCAGGAGAACTTCAGCATACACAGAGTTCACTCCCTTTAACTTTGCGCTCATGTTTGATTCGGTCTCTGCAGAGTGAATCCATAGTGGTACATTATTTAACCATCAGAAAGTGACTGATGTTCGGACGAATTAAAGAGCGAGGCATGGGCAGGTCAGGATGCTCCCTCTCCTGGTTAGCAGTCTATTGGCGGCGGCTGATTTCCCACGCAGCCCTCGCAAATGCCCTCCTCAATATTCATCTAGGCAAATTTCGACGAATCCCACGTCTCAATTTGGCTCTCCGCAGCCCACGCCCCAACCCCCCTGCTCGGCGGCCCCGCGGTCCCAGCCCGCTCTCTCTGCCGCCAGGGGTCTGCTGGGACGCACCCAGAGCTAAGCATCTCCCCATCCCGGCCTCCAGGCCCCGGGGGGGCTGGGGAGGGGCAAATCAAAGGCTGCCTGCCGCCTTCCTCCTTCCCCGCGCTCACCTCAAATCAGTCTCACAGCAGGGTTGTACCGTGCCAAGCCGCCGCCTGCCCCCAGCTACCCCGTATTCGCCCATTAGGGGCGCGGGCCCACCATAGAGCAGCCCCGAAACCCCACCACCGTTTCATCAGGGCCACATTGTGAGGGAGCGACGAGGGGAGCAGCGAGAGCGCTGAGAGCCCTGACTCTAAAATGCGCACTGATGCACTTTTGACCATGGATAGTTATGGCTTTTAAGGTTTCTCACTCAAAGGGCACCTTGGCCTGCATTCTTTGAGGAATCAAGCACCAAGAGATGCATTTGATCAAGGCTTCAAAGCAACCAAAAAAAAAAAAGCCATTTAGCGCTCTGATTGGCGTATAGACCGCATTAGCATTGCTTCAGATAGTCACAAGCCAGCTATGATCAGCCATAACCTGTTAGTCACGTATACTGTCCTCTGTAACAATGTAAAATGATTGTGTGCTCGGGCGGCCTAGGGCAGAGCTATGTTCGATTGGGATAGTGGGTCTTTTAGGGCGAATCTGGGCACAATGCCCACCAGACCAGAGTGGGCCAGCTTTCCGCTGG